TGCCAGGGGGGAAGGCGTTCCGTAGTCTGGTTCTCGGGGTGTTATTGATGTTTTAGGCCGCCTTAGGGCACGAATCGTTGTCTGGTTCTGGGTCATAGAGTCAGAGCTTGTGTACCGCTAGATGTCGAAAGATTCAACAAGAGCATCTCCAGTACACCTCAGGCACATTCATGATGATTCATGCATTTCAGGTCTCCAGCCTTCCTGGAACGCCTGGGACTAGAGGCAGACCTCGAGACGCTGCCTGCCACCGCGTATCTTGGAAGCAATTGGGGGCATGACAAAAGTCTGAAGGCTGTGACAGGCTGTGGCCTTGGTACCGCGATCTAAGGTTGGGGGGCTCCATGCAGAAGCTGAGGCGCTTTTGCACAGACTTGCACGGCCTGACACGTTGACTAGCGACGACTGTGACTGCGCAGTTTGAGCCCCCCAAGAGGTCTACTCAGCTTCCAGGGCTGGAGCTCCTGGGTTCGCCAGCCCGCGAGTGCTACGCAGGTCATATGTGGAGAGGAGATGATGGATCTAGAATCTCTCCGAATCTCTCCGAATCTCCCCGAATCTCTCGGATCTGGCCAGCCATGTGGTATTTATTATGTGATGACGAGTCTCATGCGGGCAGGTCTCTGGCAAGGCGGCGGCTGGCGTGCCTGGTGCACGCTTGATTGGGATGCTTGGAAGGTGGAATCCTGATTCGACCAATCCTGATTCGACCCGATGGGCACGGACTGAAGTGGACTCAGAGCTTTGTGAGTCGTGTGAGGATGCAGGCGCAAAATCCGGAGACATGCAGGGCGAGGCCGGGACTGTCGTGTTGGGTGAATGAACCAGGAGGCCTCTGCTGCATAACTTCCTCAGGTCATGTATGAAGTACTGCCATCTGAGAAGATGACGGAGTCGCAACTGCAGATGGTCGGGTGGCGAGGTGGGCCGATTTTGTGAAGGGAACCTGGATGTCCTGGAACAGCATCCTTCACCCGGCGTCTGAAGGACTGTGAAGGCTTGCGGTTTGTTGCCGTCGCTGACGTTTCCTGCAGTAAAGTCGATGACGTTTCCTGCCTTGAAGTCTATAGAACATTTCGGAAGCAGATGAGTTCGCAGAGCTCGCAGTCGTCTTCCTGATCTTTCTCTCAATCTCATGTCTGTGTGTCCTCTGGAAGGCACTGAAACTGTTGAGGGTACGATGGATGCCCGGGTCTCGGAGTGGGCAGCACTTGCAAGTTGTTCCCTGCAGTCTGCTCTGCTCCTCTCACCCTGCAATGGTTGTTCGTGGACAAAGTTGAGGCTGGTTAGCATTGACCAGTAGTGGCATGCCCAGCCAGTTCTCAAGGTTTTAACTCTTAGTGAGCCGGCCCAACTTGCATCCGGAGCTGCATACCCACAGATATAAGCGTAAAGGTGGCGCTTCAAAAGTCGCAATCACACTGTGAACGAAAAAGGCTGCGGCGATCTGTCTCGTGTTGGTGGGCGGCCTGCCCGTGGAAAATAAGTCCAGCATGAGAAGCAAAGCGTGACTTGTTACGGAGTCTGCGAACCCACCCCGTTTTACCTGCAGCAGTGGTTAAGCTCGTTGCGAAGGGGTGTGGTCAGCCTGTTCTCGGAAAGAATGTACACTCCTTCAAAGAGCCAGAGGCACTTGTTGGCGGAGATTCCTGGACGCTTTGAAGGAGTCATGTGGCGCTGGATCGAGCCGATGATCTTACTGGCGGAGCGTCACGCTTGTTGGCGCGAAAGCAACCGTCGATACCCATCGGCAGAAGAGAGCGCCGCGGAGCATCATCCATCGCCGTGCAGCAGTATCTCTGCAGACATGTTTCTGCGGATGTTGCATGTTCCCAGAAGCGCTCCATGCCTCCTTGCCATGGGAGATGTCGATGGGTTTGGAGGATGTTGTGCCTCAACTGTTGAGCCATGGATCACTTCCACGCAGCTAGGCAATGCCGGGCACGTCTGAATTTCGCATTCAGCGTCGTTCAAAGGCGTTCAACATCATTCATCAAGCTTTTGGGGCTTGGAGCGGCTTGGTCGAGCACGCAATCTGCATTTGCGCCGTGCACGTCGGGCTACCAATGTTCTGACATGCTGCAACTCATGTCGATCATGGCCAGTTTTCGTGTTCACAGTCGGAAAGCGGGAAGGATTATGGCTGGCTCGGGTGAGGGCGGTGAAAAATGTTTGTAAGGACAGCCCGGCCACCCCATCATGCCCTGTCCTTTTGCCATCCTTCAAAACACGTCCCACTCCGAGGCTGCCGGCTTCAATGGGCGCGGCATCTCCGTAGAACCCAAAGGCACAGGGAGTCTGCACCAGTGTCTTTGGATGAGTGTGGTGGCTTGAGGTGTGCTCTCGACCACCGAGAGTTATGACTTTCGGGAAGAGGGTGACGAACTGGTCGAATCAACCAGCGGCATGAGGCCGGGAGATGTGTTGAAAGATTATGTCGAAGATTTCCCTGTTGAAGCTGAAGACCACAGCATTAGATTTCGTGTTGTTTCGGGCCAGGTTGAGGCGGCAAGCAGTGCGGCCTTCTCTGCCATTGCCTCTTGGCATGGCGAGACAGTTTGAACACTTAGCAGGACGCCAGCGGTATGCTTTGTTTACAGACCGTTGTCTGGCTGGCCATCTGCACTCAGGCCGGGGCCACTCCATGCAACATGCGTGGACTTTGCCCAGGACGCGACCCTTGGAAGTTTCCGAAGCGCGTCATTGCATCTGTGAGTTTTGGGTTAAGATACTTCACGTGCAGATGCAATGCTACTGTGTGCCCCCCTGTTGTCTGTGTGGATCTGTGTAGCTGAACAAAGCAAGCTGCACTGTTTCTTCTTCTAATCCTTAACCCGCTGCCCGCAGGCTGCAATCGCACGGCAGCAGGTCCGAAAGGGCTTTAGGGCTTTCTGGGCTCACTTCAGGCTGCCTATGTGCAAAGCCAACATTGTCAGAAAGGTGACCTTCTCTGCTTTACGGTAGAAACTGCTGGCTACGGGCATAAAGTGCTATGCTGAAGGAAGACAGGTCACACCATGTTTCTTGGCTACAAAGCCCTTTCCCTGCACTCAGGGGATCGAGCTTCATGGAATGCTGGGTCAGCTTCCGCTGCATCAGGCGTGCTCTGCTTGTGGTTATGGATGGGACACGGGGTCGGATCATTCCAGCGCCACGGACGTTTGTGGAATGCCCTGGACAATTTTCCTGTTCTGTAGTTTTTGAGATGTTCGCTGACCCTTGTGCCTGAAGGATTTTGGTCTCGACGTGGATCCCGAGGCACAAGCGCAATGTGAGTTTGTCGTATGCCTGCCCATGGCAAAGAGCAGTGCTAGATGAACTCCTGTTACTCTGGAGCCTCCAGTGCCGCTGCAGAGTTTTCTGCAGGAAGTGTCCACATGGCCACAGACTGACCACAAAAGAAGCCTTCTGTTGTCTAGGCGCATCGAATTGTTGTCCGAGTTCCTGCAGATTCGCAGCAGGTAGCCTTGGAGGCCTGAGTTGAATGATTGCAACCGTCAGAGCTCGGAGAGGAAGTTTTTCTGTCGGATGGGTTTAATGATGCTCAATGTGTCCCAGAGCACAAGTCCATCCTTCAGCGTGTCTGCCCGCAGCCTTCCTCTGCTCTCAGCCTCCTCGGAGGTTTTCTTCTCCGATGTTTTTGTTAGTTGTTCTCTCTCCCTCTCTCTGCGTGGGGTGCTTTTGTCGGCGAGGCTGGGCTCCGGCGAATTCCTGGGCTGGCTCTGCCATCGCGGCTGCTGGGGGTGCGCTTGGGGAGCGTTTCCCCCCCCTGATTGGGTTTTCACCCTCATCTACTAAGGGTCTAACACATCAGCTGCTAGCCATCGGCTTCTTGCAAGCACTGCAGTTCGAGCCACACTTGCCTGATTCCCCGCCTCAAGCACGGCTTGCTTCATCAGGTGGAGGTGCTTCACGCCCCTCAGACGAGAGGCTTGCTTCAGAGATGGGGAGATGTTCATTTCATGGAGCGGGGGTTCTAACTGCTGAGAAGATGGAGCCAAGATGGTCTCCAGGGAAACTGCATCCTGCATAGCTTCGAAGGCTACCGCAGCCTGCCACCAAGCAACTTCCTCACAGGTTTCGCTGCTGCATCGCAGCTTACAGTTCCTGCTTTGGTGGACTCCGGCTCCGCCAACTCAGTGACAGGACTGCAGGGAGGCTGCAAAACGGAGCTTCTTGGGGCAAACACACGCAGCTGTGGGGTTCTACGTTCATCCATGGTCGCCCCCGAAGCCGAGGTTATCAACTGGCCAGCGGCAGAGCTGTTGTTTGGCCTCCGCCCTGGCGACAGGGTGGTACGTGCCCTGGGCTGAACGCCGAAAGCTTCGGGGCATCTCATGAAGGCATCCTTCAAGTCAGACCCTAAACAGATCCTGTGGGATGGAGACAGTTTTTGAGGAGAATCCTTGAAAGTGGCAACCCGGAACTTTTGAAGCGCCTCTCTGCCCAGTCTTTCCCTGTCAATGTTTGCTGGTCTCAAGGGAGCAGGTTACTACCAGGATGAGAGAAAAGTTCCGTGACGAAGTTCGTTTGTCAGTGGCAGTAGTTTTTTTTGGCTACCTCTCTGAGCCTCGCTTGGATATGCGCGCCGCTAAACCTTGGAAAAATGTGGGGATCTAAACTGATGGTGTAAACACCAAGCGGCCTAAGGCCTTAGGGAGTTCTCTGAACTTAGAAATGTCTGAGTGAGGTGATGCTCCTCGTATTCGAGCAGTTGGCGTCGCGTGTCTATCAACAGATTGTACTTTCAGGGAGAGTTTGCTCAAGTAGCTTCCGGGAGGGAAAGGCACGTGACTAGCACAGGAGGAGCCGATTTGGTGACGCTTCCGGGTTGGGCAGCCGGCCACAGAGGGGACCGTGGAGTAAGGACAAGTACGCACATGCAAGGACATGGTTTTGATCTCAGATGGCTGGGCTCACCCGAGCAGCTCTTAAGTTTCGGAGTTGACGCTGTAAAGTTTCGGAGCTGACGCTGTGAGGTCGGAGGCGGGACAATCGACATGCCGCTGCTACGCTTGTCCTTGGGTTTGGCAACAGGAGAAGGCTGGGGCACCACTCAATTGTAGAGCTGAGTGTTTCATGTGTTTATCTCATCTGCTTCATGCACTTCACGTTGATCAAGGTGATCACGTGGCGCCCAAAGCTGTTCGTGTTGCTTTGGGTGACGCGGAGGCGGGCTGCGGGATTTCAAGCGCTGGCTTTCATGAACTTGTGCTAGCATGCTGCATGGAGTGCTGTGATCCCTATGGAAGGGCTTGCTGGTACATGATAATTTTAACGCTACGCGACCCGCCTCGGCCCGGCCCAGCGCATCCGCGTGAGCATGGTGATTCCGCAGTGCCCAAGTCGCTGGACCCCAAGCAATAAGGGTTGGGTTGAGGGTTGAGGGTTGAGGGTTCCGGGTTTATGGTTTATGGTTTGGGGTTGAGGGTTAGTTTAGGGCTCAAGGTTCACGCTTTGGGGTTGAGGGTTTTTTTGGGTTTAGGGTTCGGCCGTGATCGTAGGGTTGAGCCAGGTTTGCAAGGTTTAAGGCGACGCTTCGGAAGGGTGGGGGGGAGGGGGGAGGTGGGTGGGGGGAGGGGGGGGGGGGGGGGGGGGGGGGGGAGGGGGAGATCGGGGGGGGGGCGGGGGGGGGGAGGGGGTGGGGGGTGGGGGGGAAGGGTGAGTTGGGTAGGGAGGAGGCGGGCGGGAGGGTGGGGGGGGTGGGGGGGCGGGGGTGGGGGGGGGGAGGGGCGGGGTGGGGGGGGGGGCCCTGCTGGGAGGGGCTTCAACTGCCTCTGGTGCTGGCGAACCGTCCGCTTGCGGACAGGAGGGGTACCCATTTGAAAAAAAGGGGTCCGAAAAAGGGCTCTGGGTGTGGGGGGAGGATTTGGAGGGGGGTGCCTGTTCTGACAACCTATACACCTCCGGCCCGAGGCCTCGGCGGATTTGTGAATTGGTGGCTTGCCACTTCGAGAGACAGGTCTTCGCAGACATCTTTGGCCGGGAGGACTCAGGCAATGGAAGAGACACAAGTACAGCATTTTTGTTTTGAGGCTCAAAGAAGCAGAGGGTAGCAGAGGGAGCCGGAGAGGAAGATGGAGCCCCGTAGTCAAGGCATTCTATTTGCGAGCACCTTGGCCAGGCTCTTGGCCTCTGGGGCTCGGGCCCAAATCCCTGAAGCCGGCAGCGCTCATTGGCCAGGCGATGGGATGTTTTGTTTCGGACTATTCTGGAACATCTAGCAAACATAGCAAAAACTTGTCAGCTAATGTCTTCTCCTTTGGCCGTCCTCAATGTTCATGGGCATGCTGGCTCAGCTCGATGTCGACTTGGAAGCTTGCAGTGCTGGTAGTGTGTAGCATATCCAGGCATGTGCCTTGTGTCAGGACATCCTCTCCCAACAGCGGCATTTCCTCGTGGCACCGGAGCCATCGATGTACGTGGCGGAGCAGCGTGACGCTGAAGGCTGTTTGAGGGTTCGGAGAAGCGGGTAGATTTGCCACATGTTTTCTGTTGTAGCACTTGTGCAGTCAGCAGCAGCTACTTTGCATCAGCAGCAGCCACTTTGTATCGCGTTGCTACAGTCATGCTTCAACATCGGAAGCAGCGACAAGTATTCAAGCAGTGCAATTCGTCGCTCATAGAGCAGCTGCAGGATTTCATGCACTGTTCCCCAATTTCCGTGGGATCTTGCAAGTCTTCCCGAGCTTTCAGTCCGCGGAATTGGGGTTGTGACCTTGTTACCCAGAACACCTGGTCTGCAAGTCCAGTGCTTCATTACTTCATTCCCTTGTTGGTGCATGGGTGCATGCCGTGTACCTTCGTTCCTCGGTCGCTCCTTGTAGCTGACCTTTGTTAGTCCATGTCACGAAAGCCTACGGGAGTGTGCGGGAGTTTTGGGGCAAACAGGACTTGAAGGGCCTCAATCCCGGATACCTCCGGCCTTGAGGCAGCCGCCCCCCTCTCTGACCTTAGAGGGCCAACAAAAACGCCGCTTGCCATTTACGGGAGCCTCGAGCTTGCGTCCGCCCTGCTCGTAAGTCCGCTCTCGGAGTATCTTTGACGTCTTCTAGTTTTTTTCTGCCCGACTGGACCATCATTTCGACGATTCACGGTCAACCACTGAGTAAAGAAGTGCCCTTTGGCCTTTGGCCTGCCGGGCTTGTTTGCCAGCTCGCCCGTGGCCCGTTGCTGGACTGGACGAAGGAAAGAGTTGGAGCATTGTGTCAAGGGTTCAAGGGTGAGCAGGCAATTGCCATTCCCTTTCCGCAATTCGTAAGAGACCCCCTAAACTTGCAACTGTCATGTGCAATGCTATTCCTGACTGAAGCCGGAGGTTCGCTTCACCATGTTGGAGAAGGCCTGGGGCACTGGTAGAAGATTTGTACAAAGCTGCGCAACGCCCGACCATGCTCGCAAGAGGGCGCTCAGTGCGAGAATTACACAGTTTTGGTGGAAAGCCCGACATGTTGCAGGCGATTGCATTGATAGTGATGGGCGGCGGCTGGAGGGCCTCCAAAAACTAGGACGTCCAGCGAGTCCGCATGTTGGGCAGCTCCCAGCCCTGTGTAGGTTGTCTTTGCAAGGGTATGTCGGTGTCAAGTGAAGTGTTTCGTCGGTTTCTTGTCGTTGAGGCTTGTGCAGTGCACAATTCTAGACAGTGGTTATGTTGTTTGACAACACCCTTGTTCCTGAAGCAACTTGATACTTGCATTCCCTAGTCTACATTAATAGCAACTCGAGGAGCATTTTGAGTGTCCTGGGCTCGGGAGTTTTTCGCTTTGCGCAGGATGTACGATGGATGATGCTGCGTGGGAGTGCCTCTCGCTGCCGCCAGGCATTTTCACCAAAGGGGAGTTTTCTGAGATTGTCTTTTGCCTCCCGATTCCTGTGTTGGCCGAACATTGCTTGTACGCATTGTCGTCGCAGTCCTGAAGTTGATGCCGATGATGGCGGTGCAAGCCAAACTCTAATCGGACAACATCCGAGAGTGTTTGGCTAGAAGAACATGGAAAGGTTTGGCGACAGGAATGTGGAAAGCTGTCAGGCTCTGACAAAACCCACTGAGATGCTCTGGAAGCATAGTCATCACATTTCGTGCCGCTGCCATCGATGCCCGCTTTCAAAGTGCTGTTTCTTGCCTTGCATGTTCTTGCGCGATGCACGGGCACGCGTTGTACAGGGGCTCCGGGGTGGGGGGAGAGAGGCTGAGGATGCGCCCCCCACCTCTCTCGAACGTGTTAATCTTGTAGTTCAACATGTGGTAATATTGGTAATGTTCCTTCAGTGCAACTTGAATGGTGGAACGGCACTGCCGCATCTATGCTTCCATACAAGCAGTTTGACCTAAGAGGATCGAAGCGACCATGAAACAGTTGTACACTGCCTTGTCACGACTTGTGTGTTCTCATTCCCTGCTTCTTTTTGACTCGGTGCAGGTGCTTGTGCAGGCATTGCTGTGACTCCAAAGGGGAGTTTTCAGGCAGGTGTTTGTGGAGCACGGAGAGCCAATCTTGCAATCCTGCTCGAATAGCCGTCTGTCTCATGAAGGCTGTCCCAAGCATCCCCTGCACATCCTCTGCTGCAGGGCCTGTGCTACATCTTCGTGGCCGCAGAGTTTGGCAAGGATGAGGTGCGCACAAACTTAAGAGATACCGGAAGACGTCCAGATGCTGACTAGGGCCCCAGGGCCAATGCAGTTTTCAATGCAAAGCTCCAAGAAGGAGTTCCGGTCCCGGGGCTTCGCCCGCTATGCGGCGCCGCCTGGGCAGGCGCTGGCGCCACCAGGTGCCAAGTTTCGGTGTGTGTCGGTTTGAGCTGAAAATCGGTATATCCAGCATCCAGAGCATCTAGACCCGGCTTTGATGGTCCCTTGTGGCAGTTCCATAGGCTCAACTGTGGCAACGGCGGACGGGACTCCAGATGCGCAGTGCTTCCGTTGGCAGCCAAAGTGAGCTTCAGAGACCGAGGCGCTGCCAGAGGCTCTTTAGCTGGGACTCTATAGGACCCTAGAGGACCCTGATAGGACCACATGACCGCGTGGGTCCGACGCAGGTCTCTGCGCGTGGCTGTAAGCAGTCATTGCATGTCATGCAAGGGCGTGCCAGGGCCTGTTTGCATGTTCATGTCTTTCATGGCTGACACGGCTGTGATGGCGATCCAGAGCAGAATCTGTTCAAAGACCGGACGTGTCCGGACATTGGCAAGCTGAGATTCTTGATGTTCAGTTATGAAGTGCTTGGTGAATTAGGTCCGGACGTTTGCTGTACATAATTGTTTCGCAGATGCAGCTCACCTAGAGGTGCAGAAAGGATTGCCTGAGAGCTGCATCTGCTGTGATTGTAAAGGAAAAGTCGTGCGTCCGGACATGCATTGCTATGCTTCGCAATCGGCAAGATTGAGTCCATGTCAGAGAGTTGCAGTTTACGTTTAGATACACATGAAGGCCGAGCGGGAAAATGACCGGAATCTCATGCGCGATGCGCGCGAGAATGTGGAGGCGCCGTTGCTGCACAATCGGCCATTGTCGAGATTTGTCTTGGAGAGAACTGAGAGAATGGTCCGAGATGGGATAGGGAATGTCACCAGGGTTCCATGAATCTCTCGTTCCCTTGAAATTCCTTTCCTCTCAGGTTGCCACGAACCGGCTCTCGGAGGGATATGCCTGGAGCTCAGTCCGTGGTGCAGCGTCTTGTGTTGCGCGTTAAATAGACCCACACTACACACGTCGCGCACCTGTCGCAGGTTTTAGGTCACTGCGCAATTGCAATTTTCCAAAGCATTTACGAACTTGGACTTTCACTTGAACGGCTGTGTTTGAGTGTTGCGATCCCTTCCGGGATGTGTTCCGTGGTCCGAGGAGCTTCGCCTCATTCAGGTCGATGCAGATCGCGCAGTGCTGGCCGAGCAGGTCACGTTGTGGTGGATTGTGAGTTGTACACGATCATGCTTGTGTAAGATCATAAGAGAACATGACCTGACCTGTAACAGACTACGAATGAAACCTGCACGGCTGCAGGTGCGACAGCTGGAGATGGAGATCCGGAACCTCCATGGCAACCACCTTCAGGAGAAGCCTGCCTGCCTTTTTTTGCTGCAGGCAGCAGGCGGTTCAATTTAGGACGGCGTTGCAGGACATCCAGGCGCACCGTGGCTGGCACTCAAACGCCTTGGACGCGCTCTTCGAGATGGGCGGCTCGATGCTCGGAGAGTACGGGATACAGCCCAGATACAACTCGTAGCAAAAGGGGCTCACGGAGTTCTTGAGGTGTTGAGACAGCTTGGATGGCTGCGATGGCTCGCCTTACACTGCGCGCCTGGAAGCAGCTGCTGCATGGCAAGGCCTGGGGGCAGACCGATGTTGTGTGTGAACACCTGGACCTGGCAACATCTGGCAACCTTTCATCTGAGAGTGGTTCGCCACACATCTAGAACCGTTGCTTCGTGGTAGAGATGGCCAGGCAGCACTTGTACAGCAACTACAACTACAACACCGGCAGACAGACAGATGGTCGCCCAAAAGAGCAGCCATAAAGTAGCCATCAAGACGCCAAGATTGCGGGCTTACAACGATGGCTTGAAGTTTGGAACGTGATCCGCAATGGTCTGAAGTGCACGAAATTGGGCTGTGAGTGTTTACCGCTCCCCATACCCATTGCCGGTGAAATAGCGAGATGATTTCGTCGCACACCTAATACAGATGTAGGCATGTCATCCATGCATGTCCATGTGGCCTGCTGTGTTTCCTATACGAAAGGCATCATGTCTTCTCTTGCATTCTTCCAGGAAGACTGTCACCGACGCCGGTGTCTTTCTGGAAAGGTTGCGGCGCGGCATGTCCAGGACAACTGTACTTGCACAGACGAGTGAGGTCTAGACCCGCGTCTCATCCATATTCATGCTGAATCAGCTTGCCACGGCAGGAGACAGACCTTCAAGCCAAGCGCATCCTAGCTGCAATCATGGCAGTCGCACAAAGTCTGCCAGGACAACCAGGAAAAAGGCTCCAAAGCAATAGCCCCTCACTGCCAGGTGCACTTTGGGCTGCGTGGCGCAGCGTGGCACTTCACCACGCCCAGCGGCACCGGAGCGCGGGTGCCGTGGCACAGGCCATGGCAAGCCAAAACGCTGACGAAGCTCGGAAGCCGCAGCGCGACCGGTTGTTCATGTTCTTTCGTACTTGTTAGCAGTCGGAAGCCCATCGGATGCCCGCACGGCTCTCGCCTGCGCATGCCGCATCATTCACAACATGCACCACCCATCATGCATCTTGGCAAAGCCATCAGTTGCGTTGCCATCCCATCCCGCCTTGTGCAGGCTTTGGCACGAGCCTCCGCGGGGGAGTCGATGAGGCTGCAGCAACTGGAAGTGGGGAGACTTCAGTTAAACGGACTGCTCCAGTAGAAAGGGGCTGCGTGTTCTGGCGTGTCGCAGCATACAAAGCATTGAAGCTTTCGCCGGGCACGAGGCGCGGGGCCTTCGCCGCCTGGCGCCTGGCGGTCCATCCGCTGCGAGGGTCTGCACGGAAGGCACACTCTTGCCCGCTCCAGTGAGCCATCACTTATGGAGGTCAGTGTAGGCACGTCGGCTTGGTCACCTGGTTGACGGCGTGCGGTTCTTTGTCGCGTAATTAAGAATTAATTAAGGGCATGTTTGTGCCGCCTATGTTTTCTTTTTTGATGTGTGCTGGTTTGCATCGAACTTCTGGAAGTCAGGCCATGGTGAGCATGCGCCTGGCTGCTGTGCAACATCGCCAACGTGCTGCGCAACGAGACTTCCGCAGGACTGCAAACGATGCGAAAGCATAAACGATGCTGTCCACCAGCTCCCAGCTCGTGGCAAATTGAGTTTTGACACCTGGCAGAATGCTTCGGGCTTTGAGTTTTACACACCTGAAACAAGAACCCAACCCATCTTCAGCGTTTGCATACCCACATGAGCTCACATCATCAATATCGGAGGAGCTGCTGGGAAATCTGGGCTGCGAATGCGCGCGAGGCATGGCGAGTCAGTCAAACGAGTATGACGAGTTTCCGTGTGCACATTTTGATTTACTTTCCAGTTTTCCAGTGAAGGAGGCGAGAAGCCGGCGGGCGGAGGCTGCTATTGCAGCGCTGCGTGCCCAGGACCCTTGGGATCTCTTAAGGTCTTGCTGCAGAATTGGCAGAACTCATTCTTGGCAGAGGCTCTCAAATTCAAACAAAATTATCAAGCGCTGATTTGCCTGGCAGGTAACTTCGCAGGCAGAGGCTGCCCAGGTGCCTTGGGTGAAATGAGGGAGCTCAAGCCGAGCCAGGCTCGGTTGCGAACGTGCCTTTGGGTGGAGTTGTGCATAGGCTGCCCAGATCTTGGCTGAAGAGCGACTTCAGCAAGTCGAGCTGCGGTTCCAGGCACGTACTCTTCGAAAGTTGCGCTTCTGGTTCTCGTGGAACCGTCCAGCGTGGCCAGGAGTCAGAGATGCTTGCTGCAGAGGCGGGGTGGAAAGTCACGTTGCCATCTGTGCTTCATGTCACGATTTTGACACTCCACAGAAGTTGTCAGCTGCCCTGAGACCAGCAGCCAGCAACTCCTGGATCAGAAGCTCGTGAGCGCGAAGCTCGAGCTCACTGGGCAAGTTTGGAGTTTTTGAGAAGTTCAGGAAGCTCGAGACTTCACATTGGCGTCACCTGCTTTGTGAGGGCTTTTGTGACTAGAGGCGCCCTGAAGCCAATGCTGCCAGGTCACGGCTGTCCACTGCCTCTGAGCGTGAGGACAATGAACGTGTGGCAGTGCGCAATCTGCGCAAGCTCATGAGAGATCTGCTAGATGCAGAAAACATGTGCAGAAGCTCTGAGACGCTCTGAGAGTGCTTACGAGTACCTGTCCATCACAGAAGATCAGAGTCATCGGGCTTTGCAGGAGGAACTCCGCCTCGAGGTGTCCCGCCTGGCAGCGGGGGCCCATGCACAAACCCACATCGACGGTCAGAATGATGTCATCGATGGGTGTTCATGCGCCTTGATGTCTGATGGCGGCAGATTGCATTCCTTTCTCGGCTCCAGGATTTGCTGACCGCCGCGGAGGCCGAGGTCCTTGAAAAAGCCAGCAACATCGATCGTGCTGAGGCAGAGTGGGTTAGCTGGATTCTAGTGCCAGGAGTGCTACCCCGAGGTCCAAAGTTACCTGACACCGGACCTTTCAGTGTTGCGCTTTGGGGCCAGGAACGTCTTGCTGCAAAGACGGCCGAGGCAAAGCGGAATGCCTACTTCTCTATGAGCGGACAATTCAGTGGCCACAACAAGATGCAATATGAACTGAGAACACATAGCTTTTGTTCTTGTTCTTGGGCGGTAGAGGCAGAAGCCTTCGAGCAAGCTGAGCTCCGGCAGCACAAGCAGGCTGGCTGGCTCTTTCTCGGCTTTAACCAGGAGTTGCTAAATCCATCCATCGTGTTGCAGTATGGGGACCTGGCAGCAAGTCTTCCAATCTGGAAGTCTTCATCTTGTGGAGGAGGCGGCGGTGGCCGGGCGCCTTGCGCGACTGGTGCAGCAAGCGGCAGACCAGGAGGAGGACCTCTGTTGTTGGACTTCTTTTCTGTTCGTGTTGAGTCTCCGAAATCCGTCTCAAGCTGGTGCGCACGATGTCACGGCAGCGTCAGGAGATAGTCTCGTTGCAGACCTCGCTGCAAGCAGAGCGGGCTGCGCTGGCTGTGCTGCGGCGCCGCACCCCCAAAACTGTTCGTTTGCAGTCCTCAAAGCCAATCTCATTGGACGTCCATGCCGAGGCAGCGACCAGATCACCGACGCTGTGACGACAGCCAAGAGTCTCCCTGTTCGCCTTGTCCGTATGGACGTGGACGATGCCCGGAGCTCGAGTTGTGAGAGATCCGCCTTCGATGCATGCAAGCATCGTGTACGACTGCGTGAGATGCGGGTTATAGCCTGTAAGCATCACTGGAGCTGGGACCACACCGTCAAGAGGACCCTTGTCTTTTGCGCCAACATCGTCCACCCCAAAACCCAGCTAAAACTTGCTTCGACGGAGAAGTTGGGTACTCTGTGGTTGATCTGCCGAAAACAGAAATCCTGTATCAAACAGCCCAAGGTGTTCGAAGACCCATCGCCCCAGAAATCCCTAGGAGGGTGCAGTCAGTGCTTGTCCTAGCCCCTGAAATGACTGCTGTTCGAGTTGGGTCCCTGATCTCTACGAGAGTTCTAAGCTGATATAAGAGCTAGTGCCTGCTCTTTTGAGGTCAAAGACAGGTGGCGGCTTGAGCACAGCTTCTCTGTGTCAGCCATTCACAAATCTGGCCAGCAGGCTTAGACTCCAACTGGGCAGTCTCTTGCGGTTGAGTCCTATCATGTTCTGGGCAGAGAGGGCCAGAGATCTCTGCAATCAAGGCACTCTGCCGGAAACGCTTCCACTGGCTTCGGAGAGACCAAAGCGGCTCGCTAGCCGGAGTCAGTAGAGACCGCTAATGGTTAGGGTGGCTTTGGCAGTTTTCGTTTTTTCTACTTTTGGAAGGTTCGCTTCGAGGTCTAAAGCATACATCCTGCCCTGACGCATGACGTAGAAGTACACAGAACATGGCATATATGTAGATTTTGTCGTTTTGGGAGTGTTCCAAGTTTCGCCGTGCCCCGCCGCACGTGACCCACCTTCCAATGCCATCCAACACCAAGACACGCTGCTAATGACCAATAGCTAACGAAGACGAACGCTGTGCGCGTAGTGACGCTGCCATACCCAACTGCCAGCTTGAGCATAGCAAGAGCTCAATCGGACTGAGAACTTCGCGCGCACTTGATCGTCGTAGCACGAGTTGATCAGGACTTAATTCGATTGTCGGTAGTGCAGTCCCTCGAGCCACCGCTCGCCAAGAGGCTGTGCTGTTCGGCACTGTTCGGCCGCCAAAGCGGCGCCAAAGTGGCGCCAAAGCGGTGCCAGGTTGTCACCAAGCGGTTGAGGGTGCTGTTGGTTTCATCCTGCCCCTGGACTTTGCCTTTTTCCATGGTCCAGGCACGCAGCCGTTATGTCGGTTGGCTGATGGATTGCAACCCCTGTGAAAAGTGGAGAGCAGATGAGCGATTTTTGTTTGTTTTTGTTTTTGTGCACTTTCTCAGCTGATTCTGTTTAGACGTCAATTCCAGAGTTTGTGAACAGCGCGCTCGTTTTATGCAGCCTTGTTCGCACAGCTGAAGCCCCTCGTTCATCAGCAAGATGCAGTTGCTGATAGCTGTGGTTGATGCGCAACTATACTTTCATTCGGCATTGCACATTGTATTTTTCGCGTGACCGCCATGATGGTCCATGAGCGCATCGAGAATGCCTTGACGGCACCTCAGAGTACAAAGAAGTTGCCATCATTCTCCCCTTGTCCCGGTTCTGGTACAGTCATGTGCAGTCATCGAGAGGCAAGTTGTTTCGAGGCCAGCCATCCCCGGATGCTGCCGCAGCTGAGGCTGCCTCCTGTTATGGGTTCCACAGTTCCACCCAGTTTCTGAATGAATGGCAGTTTTGTGGCGCACGTGTGTGCGTGTGTGTGGAACGGCGCAGTTACCATCAAGAGGCTGTCCTTCTGGCTGAGATTGGTCCTGAGGCCGTGCAGGTCCCCCTGCACTGCCGAGCAAGAAGTGTTTAGCCCCTTGTTGCATTTCTCTTACATTGGCGAAGGTTCTCCGGCCGTATTATTCAGCCCTGGTGGGTGTTGCGGACTTGGCACGCACTGCAGGAGGCCTTGGGAACGGCTTGAGAAGCTCAAGCACTTCTCGGTAGTGGCATCAGTCAATGCTACGTGAGGCCAACAGTTAAGATCTCTGTCTGCGTCTCAGCTGGCCAGCAATTCACTATGTGAAGTTTGTATCACATGAAAGACGCAGACGTTTCAGGTTGCGCCACATTGGCGAGTTGACCTGCAAAGTTGCTGCTCTGGAGGTGAGAGTGTAATAACCTCTGGCCTAAGCATGCATCGTCCAGCCATAGAGCCATGTGTGCCGTGGCGTGGGACAGGACGCCTGTCAGCATTGGCAAGCAGTGTGCAATGGCTTCCAAAAGCAGCTGACGCAGGTCCGACTCAGAATTTCTACATTTCTTTTCTATACTTTTATACTTTTATACTTCCAGATTGTTGCATCTGCTTTTTGTGATCAGTGATGGGCATAGTTCGAGTATGTCGCCTCTTTTCTGCCTTGTTTCCGCGAGCTCAGTCACGGCTGACAACTGGAATATGATGTGTATTATTCGGGTTGCCCAGGTTCTTCCAAGTTCCCCGCAATGTTGTCCATCTGACCAGGTCAACTTTGCACAAGCCGCAGCCAGGTGGGCGTGCCCGCCTTCTTGGTGAGATGCTGTTGCATCGTGAGTCGAATGTGGAGGCAAGCAGCTGATGGGCAGCCGGAGCTCCAGAGACCAAGCATTTCGTTGCTTCCGGACTTCCTTTGTTCGGCCGGTGCTCTTTGTGGTTGCTGTTGCAATTGGTCACCGTTTAGGCGAATGCGCTCAAATGCCATGCAGGCACGAATAGTGCTGGGTGTACCAGCATCGATTGCAGTTGTAAGAATTCTGGTCTCAGGCGCAACTGCTGGACATGATGAAGGAACACCAGGCAACGAACGATGCTTGGGAAGCCATCAGCAGCAGCAGCAGGAGGAGGAGGAAGAACAATGTGTAGGCAGTGGAGTAAGTCTTTCGGCCGAAAGAAAAAGTAGGCCCAGAACAGCCGTAGGGCTGTCTCCCAGATATACAATCACAGGGAAAGGCAGCTGCAAAGGCAGACGTCTGCTTCTGTAGGTCAATTTTGGGTCCATGGACCATGGACTATGTCAGAACACCGTGAAACAAGCTGTGACGTCCAGGCTGGTGTTCTGGCTGCAAGGAAGGACGCCAGCGTGTCGCAGGCCAAGCCGGCCCAGCGAGTTCAGTTTGTCTCCTTGCAGGTGGCTTATGATGCATGGTACTATTCATGTCTCCGAAGAACTTTCAAGTTGTATCATCGCTGCCACCGAGTGCCCTGCATCTCACCCCTGTGGGAGATCCGGTTGCACTTGCAGGCGGACATAAGCAGACTTCATGGAGAGCTTCAGTCAGAAGCTCGGCACTTTTCATGCTGCCGTGGAGTTTGCTTTTGGAGCCACCGCGTGATCTTAAGGAAGAGCCAGACAGAGGTGGGCTGGCTTGCCAAGACGTTCCTGATGCCATGTCGCACCCACGCTGCTTCTAACCCCTGTTCAGGTGGCGATGCAGCAGGAGGAGATCCGACGTCTCCGCATCGAGCTGCAGGTGGCGTGGCACAAAAAATGGTGAAGCGCACGCTCGCAAGCTTGTGGCGCGAGTGCGTCTCATGATTCTCTCGACTGCTTTTTTGTCCGGCTATGCTGCAAGCGCCGCTAGTACGGCAAACTGCGAGCCCTTCTTGTATTCCGCTGCAGCTGCAGCGACGGGTCGGTGCAGAAAGACGAAGGGTGATGCAAACAATCTTAGTTTTTGGTTTCCTCGCTGTGGGTGCTTAGTGAGACACCCGACAGGCAATGCACTCGACACGCGGACCAAACAACTCGGAGTCAGGAAAGCATGAAGCCCGGACAAGGGACTGCAAACCACATCCGAGCAACCAGAGATACGAATCTGCAACTTCAAGAGCTCGCCTTCAATTCTCAGCTTCTCCGAATCATATGGATCCGACAGGAAAGGAGATTCGTGTGTCTCAGGCCGTCGGATCCCAGCATCGCCAGCGCGACATGGACCTGGAGGCAGCAACAAATCCAAACCCCTTCTGTGAAGGGGGGCGGGCTGTGTGGTGGTCAGTGTCCACGAGAGCCGAGGCCGAGCGCTTGCGAGCAGCGGGCTCCGACCTCGCGGCGGCGCACGCCGGCCAGGCTGTGGGCTTGGAGAAAGCCAAAGCCAAAGCCATAGAGCCATAGAGGCTTGGAGCCTTGGAGCCCAAAGCCTGGCGCCTAGGAGAAAGCAAGGCTCAAAGCTACCCTGAGGCCTGGTGCGATGCGTGGCCATGCTAGGAAGCGTTACAGCAACCTCGTAGTACATTGCCATCGAATGCAACGCGGCAGGCGGGTGGACGATGATCAGCGCGAGCAGATGGAGATTTTGTCAGCTCAAGCTCAAGACGAGAAATGGCGGTTGCAGCAGCGCTTGGAGGCCAGATTCTGACTGCTCTCAAAGACTCCGGGGTAGCAGCAGCGTGCTCCCGTCCTCAGATGCCGGCGCAGCCATGAAAGGGGATTGCCGTTTACATTTGTTTACATGTTGTCATTGCCCGTGTGAACGATGTGAACAGCATCCCGGAGATGCTCGAACTGCCATGATGTGCCCGAGCTTGGCGAACACGCTCACCATTCGATGCTGCGTGCCTTCACTTGTCTTGCGCAGCCACACTTCTGCTGGCCACAGATGCTCAGCTTCTCGGTGGCCCCCATCAAGACAGACCCAATTTATTGCATACACTTGGTGTCTACGTGCAAGTGCCAGCAGTTATTTCTCCGTCTGCCTTGAGGAAGCTCTGTCATCTATGGGGGGGAGGGCTGCAGACCACTCGAAGCAGGTACTTGCTGACTCCGAATCCCATCTTAGTGCGACAATCATTTTCCCCTGGTTGGATCTTGTCAGATTTTGATTCAGCTAGTCTCCTCACTCAGGTTTCATGTACTTCTTGCCTGGGTCTCCCCCTGAAGCGCCAACATCCAGAGAATCAATCCGGAGTGCCCACCCCAGAGAATCCCAGAGAGCCATGAGGAGCATCCCTGGGGCATTTTGCAGAGAACCATGCAGAGTATCCCGGAGGGCCAAATCTCATGTGCAAGTCGAACTGCTTGGGTTGAGGGTGGGCATGTTCAAAAGTAAACCTCGTTTTTCAATCCTGGCCTGTGACGCACCTCCATTCTGATTCTATACTATGACTGATATTATTGTGCACGCAGAAACTTGCCGCATGCTGTGTTCCTTGCGCCTGGATTGCTGACGAGTGCCCAGCCTGCAGTCAGCAGAGTTTCACAGTTTTGCAGGCCGAGCATCGCGAGCTGGTGACTTGCCGTCAGGCAGAGTATCGAGCATCCGTCGCTTTGTGAAACGGATATGGCAACACGTTTGCAACATGCTGTTGCAAGCAGCGTGTGGAAAGGCTGCTGGAGTCTCTGAGGCAGTGCTTGCGGAGGCCTTCTTGTTTTTGCTGTGCTGTTGCTGCATCCAGAACAAACAGCTCGATGGCCTCAGGTCCGTTCCCTGGTGCCTATTGCAATTGGTGCTGTGGACTTCGTCAGAGATTCCGAGAGCCCGGCGATGAAGTTAGTTGCTGGCCTAGTTTGCCCTGGCATATCCTGGCATTATGGCTTTGTATTGCCACATGCCGCATGGCCGCTGAGGCACGGGGGCCAGTCTTGCTTTCTGCAAATACTTCTGTCCGGATACCAGTGCTGGCCTTGAGGCAGATTGCAGTAGTTGAGCCAACCCGATCGTTCGAAGCAAATCGTGTCTTGCACCTTCTGTGGTGTCTTTACTGTGTCTTTGACAGGTGGGGACCTGGAGCAAGTTTGAATTCCACTCCAGGTTGGCAGGCCGTGAGCAGCATTGCAGCAATCTTGAAAGCTTTTGGCAGTTGTATGCGGCTGTTGCCCCAAGACTGAATCTTTTCACCGCAATGCGGAGGCGGTCAGGGAGGGCTTGCAACTCAGCAGCAGTTTTGTGTTCTTTTCTTGTCTGTGAGTCACGTGATCTCTCAGGGGCTGCCTGGAAGCCTCTTTCCTGGTTGAAGTTGGCTGTGCCTGCAAGCCTGCAAGTGACGGAACGCGTAAGCAAACTCCAGGGTCAGCTTCCACAGACCATGTTGCAAGCATGTCGCAGCCCCTGTGAGCAGCAATCAACAACAAACAAACGACCAGGCCGCGACCAGCCGCTCACCACGGTAGTTGCTCATGCGTGACTGATCCAAGACTGTACTTACGGAGCGTTGGAAGGGAAGCCAGGAGCAACTTCGTACCAGCAACGAACCTAGCCCCAAATCAGAAGGAACAAAGGATGGACCAACAACTGGCGATCGCTTTCATTGCGGCTGGTCACAGGTTTGCCCTACTCCATCAGTTGCAATCTGGCGCAACCATGCCAGAGAAGGCGCGAGATGCAAGATAAGGCAGCTTCTAACAAGCAAGTGCGCCGTGGCAAGCACGTCATCTGCCAGGTGGAGCTGAGTGTTTGCGAGGTGGACGGCCGTTGGTCGGCTGCCCACACAGTGGCCTCAGTGGCCTATGTGATCGTCGGCACATGTCGGCCCTTTTTCCTTGAGGTTTTGCTGCGAAGCATCCGAAGCTCATCGATTCGCAGCGCTCCTCATGTACCAGGCTCCGCGTGCTTCTGCTACCCAATCGACATCGGCTTCGGCTTTGCGTATGAGTAGGTATTGCATCGTGATGCTCCTGTGTGTCCGACATGCCGAGTCCGCTCCGTATTGAAATTGTCAAGCTTGTTGTGCTGAGACATCGTTGTGCTGATGGCTCAGGCACTTAGGCCACAGCGAGTGTTCCGAGGTCACATCTGCTCACAAAGTCCTGTCCATCCCGAAGGCAGATTGCGCAGCAGCTAGAAGCGAACGGGCTGTACAGTGTGCAGCTGCAGCTGCTCTATGGAACCTTCGCTGGAGGAGGATTTCAGACAACATTCTGGGCTGAGTGTCAGATGCCAAGTCCGGCTGATTCAGCGTGCCAGCTTTTCGCCCGATTTATTATTATTGTTTTTTTTGTTTGGTTTGCTATTGTTCTATGACATGTGAATCCAGTTCACCGTGCAGTCACAAAGGTGTGTGCAGAAGGTACTGCACAACATGCCTCATAGCCTCATAGCTACGCCATCCACCATCCAACTGACAAGGAAGTAAGATATGTGCAAGGTGCCAAACTCCTGCGTCTGAGGGCGGTGCGAAAACAGACCAGCAAAAATCTACTAGGGACCAACGATGTCTCAGACGTCAAAGGGAAGTTGGCTCCACTTGTGTCAGTTGCCAGCCACTGCAGCGGGTTCCGCGCCCGCACTCACGGTTCGTTGTGGGTCCCGGCAAAGGTTCCTGAAGGCCCGGCCCGGCGAAGCTTGAAACTTCTCGCCCATGGCGGGCTCGCCCGTGCAAGCTCCCAGTCGGCCAGGGTCTGCTAGGGCTACATGGCAATCCCACCCCATCCTCCTGCACTGGCTTCGGCCACCCAGGGCAAGAACCGTGCCAAGCGCTTACTCAGCTACCAGACACGTTTGGGTGCCAGAGTCTCTGCCTCATTGGAGGGTCTAGCAAACTTCACAAGCATTTCTCCTGAGAGAGTTCTCGTGCTTGTTAGACTCAGCCGGCACTCAGACATGTAGGGGACGCGTTTGTTATTTAAAAAGTCGGACGGAAGAGGAATGGCTTCTTAGGAAGGGTCGTTCTCGCCGGCGCGCAGGAAACTCTCAGACCCTCAGATGTGCCAGTCAGAATCCCTGGTGTCTGAGACGCTCGGTCTCTGCCGCTCAGAGCAAACCGGACTAAGAACAGAGTTTGTGGGAGGACATGAATCAGGGAGTCACTGACGGTCAGACAGTCAGAATCAGGACCGAGAAGCGGCGTGTTCTGCCCTTCCCAAAAGCACTCTCGAGGGCTCCCTCCTACTCTACGCAAAAAAACTAGACAACGGATGGCCCATCATGAGCAGCATCAGCGTCGCCCTCGTTCCCCCACCTCCTCGTGCTCATCCTCATCTTCCTTGGCAACAGCATCATCAGCAGCATCATCAGCAGCATCATCAGCAGCATCATCAGCAGCATCATCGTCAAAGCAGGTTGTCGCTGTTAAGACTCCAACATCCAAAAGCTACGACAGTTACGAGGATGGCGATGACACGCAGCGCACACCGAGCCGGCTGCCATTGTTTGCACCCAGTCGTTCTTGGCCTCACACGCGGTGGCACATTGCCGTACAAGGTGATGAGCTGCGGAGCAGTTTGGAGAGATCCTCCAAAGGCTCTGGCGAACATGGGGGCATCCTGGTGTGTGAGAGTGTGAATAGTTTCATCCCTTCGTTGTGTGGTTAAGGGTGAGAGAGCCGCCAGTATACCAGAACCTTGTGCCCAGCTTGTGCCAGGATGACGAGGATTTCCTGCGGGCCTTTCTTGTTGGTTCCCCATTGAAGGAGGCCAGGGGCTGAGAGCTGCGTGGTGCCCGCAGTGCCCTCCCCACATCGTTTATTTATTTATTTTTTTTCTGATTGCGGTTCTGATCTGGAGTCCTAAGTCAAGGCCATGATCGATTTCCTGTATCACCAGCGGCGGAACCGCTTTGAACTGAGACCTGTTTAAAGACACCTCTCAGAGGTTGTTAGTGCCAATCACTTCAGGTGTGGAAGATGCGTTGCAGCGCGAGACGGCGTATGGCACGGTGGATGCTCTCACGCTTACGCGGCTTTTCCGGTGGACTCCGCTCGCTCTCCTGAACTCACAGTCAAATGCATGTCAACGCGACTTCCTCGGGGCATGTAAAGACACGATGCATGCCAGTCGCCACCATTTCTGGCCGGCCATGGCCCTTCACAGCGGAAAGAGGACTCGGCAGATGAGTTTTTTTGACGGAAGTTCCTGAGCACTGCCTTGTGCCATATCGTGCGATCATGTTCCATTGGTTCAAAACAGGAGCTTGTCGAGCGCGCAGCTCTGCCAACAAGCTTCTGGCACCAGCAAGACGCAGGACTGAGCCCTGCCCTTTCCTGCCACCTACGAGATTGTTTTGGGACATTTGGGACTACCTTCCCTCTGGGATGCCAGTCTGGCTAGCAGACGGACACAAAGGATGATCGTCGCTCTGTCAAAGGATGCTACTCATACCTGCCAAACCCAGGTGTCAGTAAAATCTGCTCGGAACTCTTTTTGTTGGCATTTCCGCTCTTTCCGCCTGTTTCCGCTCTTTCCCCAAAAAATGAAGATTTGAGAAAAACAGCCTTCCACTAAAAATGCTCGAAACCCATGCTGTTGGATCCCCAAAAACGCGCGAATGCAGTGTATTGAAACACCTTCTAAGGACTGATCAGGGCTTGTCCTGGGCTTGTGTAGGGGCTCAGGATAGTCCTTTATAGGCCTTCCTGAGTGAAGATTTTGGCTCACAATACCCCTCCGTACACTAGAGATCCACCACGAACGCCATGCATAGATACGTGAGCGGATACATATATCATATGTCACACTTCCTTATCACATAAGACAAAGATGAGGGAGTGCCAGGAGGAAGCCCATAAGCACTGTTTTCAATACCAACAAAAAGTCCCCTGTAGACCGCATGCTCTCTGAACCATAGAAAACCATTGAGAAAGCTCAAGGGAGTTGAGTGGGTTTAGGATGCTTTAGGATGGTTGCTGGGATATGATTTTGGGCCCAAAGAAGAGGAGCAGTGGGTGGGGTGGGGGGGGGGGCGGGGAAGTTCCGCTCTTTCGGGATATTGGTTTGTGGGGGATTCCGGGGATTTCCGCTCTTTTGACGCGGATTTCCGCTCTATTGACGCCGATTTCCGCTCTTTGAAGCGCGCAGGTTTTAGTGAACATTTGCTCCATTTCCGGCCGTTTCCAGACAGGGGTCACAGCACTGCAGTGGCTACACGTCCAAGGTCCAGCCCGGGATGCATGTCGACAAAGAGATTGGAGAACTTAGGTGTTTTCATGGTTTGAAAATCGGCCTTTCAAAAGATCACGAGAAACCCATTAAAAGAACTGTAACAAACCAATCGTTCTTGCTTTTGACTAATCTTAGAACTCGTGCTTTCCTTACAACTCTATGAAGATACTATTCAGAGCACTCCCATCCTCCGTAATGGGTCTCATGACACCTTATAATTAATCCGTTAAGACCCTGTTAACGCCTGGTCTGGACTCATCACTCCTTCTTCACTGACAACCTGCTCACTCGATAAAAAAGCAGCATTGGCTAGGAAGGCCGGCGCTCGCTCAACTTTATAATCAAACCGAACCTGAAAGAATGGCTCGCAACACACTTCGGAAACCACATAAAAACGCTCTCACAAAACCTTGCGATGGCAGGAATTTCAAGCGTTCCGCACATTTCCGCTCTGAGTGGCCGAAATCAACTTTTTGATCTCATAAACATTTTTCTGCAGAAGAACCCTTATTTTGCAACAAAGGGTTTGGCAGGTATGTCAAGTCTCTGGTTTTGTCATCCGTCGTTTTTCGACAGAATGTACGATGGAACAGCTGGCGCGCATCTGCCTTGAGTATGCAGTACTCGTCTGATTGCATTTAGGGCATGCTTCCGTCTGCTGATGCCTGGCTCCATGGCACCAGCGACAGGTTGCTTGGAGTTTTGAGTGCGGGGCCTCGCGCGAGGAGCTTCGACAAGTCTGACACCAGCTGTTCAGGTTGGTGTAAAGTGTCCATGACGCGCCGTGTCGGTGGAGTTTTGCACCATTGTTCAAGTTGGTGCATTCCAGTAATTGCCTGTCAGGCTGCTTCGACTGCGTCCGCTCCAGCATTTCGTGAGGGTTACAGAAAGCAAGCTCCCATCTGACTTTCACACGGCTGTCGCTGACCTTCTGCATTCTGCACATCAGCTGGATGTGCAGAATGACAAGCGGGGCCTTCGTCACCGTTGTCACAGAGGCTGCACAAAGACTCTGCAGCGAGGCAAAACAACCACCCGCATGCAACATGTCTGCACATTACGGCCCGTCGCAATATGGCATATGGCACACGAGGACTCTGGACGTGGTGTAGGAATAAGGTAGGCGACCTTAGGCCTTCGAACGACGAGGGAAGGTTTGCAGACATAAAAGAGGGTCTAAGGATTCTAAGGTTGATCCGGGAGGGGGCCCAAATGCTCGCTTGCTGGTCCAAGGTGGCCAGCGAGCGCCAACCCAGCAACTCTGCCCACAAGGAAAGGCAAAACCATGCGCTAACCCCACAAGTCCATGTACTTTCAAACTAAGCCACCAAAGTAGCTCTGCGCATAGGCTCATTGAAGCAACGAAAGTCTGCGTGGCCACTTCAGCACGCTGAGTGCAACCCCTTTGTTAGCCTAAGCCAAAACCTGAACCCGCCCTCTGCACGCAGACTTCATGACCCAAGACGATTTCTGAAGCAGCTCAGTTTCTTGCTATGGCTCTGCTTCTTTCGGCACCAGCCGTGCGCGCAGGCCGTAGACTTGCGCAGCACGGTGCAGTATTTGAGCATTCACCCTGTAAAATTCGCAGCTGCATCCTCAACAACTTCTGTCGCCGCTGCCAGCGGTGGGTCGAGGCGAGAACTCCAGCAGTCTCCCGATGCTTCTTCTTGTTTTAGCCTGCTGCACGTATGATGGCTCTCCAATCCGAGAGGTTTATTTGTGAGTGCATTCCAGGTGTCCGTGTTGAAATCCCCACGCCTAAATCAAGAATAGCAGGGGGGGGGGTGTACCTCGGGGCCTTTCGGCGATTCTCAGGAAAAATGACGTGTATTGGGAGGAGGGTTCGGTGAACGTTCAATTTGCTTGTTCCCATCAGAAGATGATAGCTTGCTTCCATCATCCGCACCATCATGTTACCTGTGAGCTGTCAGGCTCCAAAGCAGGTACTCTACACCCCGAGGCCGTGCAGAAGTGACGTGTTCTCTAAGACACCTGGTTGCTGTGCGTGCTTGCTCCTGCCAATGACCCTTGATGTAGGCTTGATTCCCACCAGTCCCAGGCTGCAGGTGCGGAGCTCTGCTACTAGCAGTTGCTTCTAGATTCCAGCAGTTGCAAGATGGTGCATCCCCCAAAATCTGCGCTCATGGCCGTCGAACTCCCTTAGAGCAGCGGGGCACCCCGAGCGGCTGGCCGAGTAGAGTCGCAAAGCTTTGAGACCCCAGGTTGATGGTTCAATTTCATGTCAAGTTTAATGTCACGAACAAACACGCCCAGTTGCTCCAAGGCAGTTTCTCTTTGCATCGCCCTGGTGCGCAAGAGGCTGGGCAAAAGAGACAGAAGGGACGTCGATGCTTGGCATGGTATGGATTTTTATGGCATGCGCGTGGAGAGGTATCGGAGGTGCCTCCGGTGCTCAAGACGTGTTCTACAAGGCGGGAAGATGTGGGGTTCGGGAATCTCAAGGGTGACGAAGAAGGGTTCGTCCTGTCGAGGCCAAGTGGATTCCCTGAGGCAAGATGCTAAGCACATCCTGCTTGGCTAGCAGTATGAGCAATCAGAAGCATTTGCTGCGAATGTACCAATGGAGTTTGAAGATTGAAGGGCTGCACAGCTTTGGTATGGCAGTTTGTCCGACGCACAGCTCCAACGGCTTCTGGTGCCGGCGCCGGGGCACCAAGGGGTAGGAATGAAACTTGAGTATCACAGTTCAAGCTTGCAGTGCCCTCCATCATGTCACAGCAGGGGAGGTGACAATGGTGAGAATCGATAACACTGCGCCAAGTGCACAGAGCCATTGTTCGGGTTGTAGGGCTTCTGAGGCTTTCGAATCTTAGAAGAACACAGCAAGATGGGAAGCACCGTAGTACCAATACTTCTGAGCTTCAACAAGGCAGATGAAGGAACAAAGGATCGGCGGGGCCTGTGTTTGTTCTTCTTTCTTTCTTGTGGTCACTTTCCTTGGTCCCTAAGGCCCTAAGGACTAGAGTAGAAGGAGCGTGTGGTTCGAACCTCAAGGGGAAGGGTTCTCGCACTGTAATTCCTCAGCGGAAGAGTGCGGGCGAATGAAGCGCGGGGACCTCCGAGGTTCTCCCAAAAACGCACCAAAGAAATAACAGGCAACCCAGGAACATTGATGCAAGCAACCCACAGCTCCGACGACTTCCTCGGACTGACCTGAGCTGGCGTCTCATCAGGTTCGCCGCTTCGTTCCTGAGCTTCTTGCTCTATCCTTTCTTCGCCCAAGTGGCTCGCCCCTCAGTTCCAGGTCCTATGCCCTAAGCTCTGTTCTGGGGAGCAGGCAAACAAAGGCAAACCTTCGTGTTCACTTTGCCGTTGCCATTGCCCGAGGTGGCCTCGCAGCTGGACTCGGTGGCATTGGGCGTCATCAAGGGTGATGCGCGATGCTTACGTGCCTGAAGGAGGATGGTGAGAGAGTGCAAGCATGTGCAAGCCGCACACCGAGGTTTCACAGTACATGCAGAACTTCTTCAACTTCAATAGCTTGCTGTTTTCGTTCTTCGTCTCGCAGACATACGCCTCCTTGTACCAGCAGCAGGACCATGTTGCGCCCATAAGCCCTATAGGATGAGGTCCACTGGGGCCTGCACATCTTTTACCACATCTGCTTTGGCACAAATACAGGGAAGTCAAACCTCAGTCAACCTGTTGGCGTGTGCTTGGCAAACCGTTACCATAATCCCGGTGTTTGGGGCCGGGTCTGCTGCACGATTGCAGCGTGTAGGCTTGGTTGGCTCTTAGTAGTGCTCAGCATGTCAGCGTTGAGGTTTTCATCGGCCGTTCGAAGCTTAAGCCCTGCGAGGAGAGTTTGTACATGGCTCTCTACTCTGAGATTGCAGAGGTGGGCACGCCTATGAGTCCGGCTCGTCGAGTTCACGCACTTCAGTCGCCGGATCGTCCTTCACGGGATTATTCAACACCCTTAGGACAATTGCCGTGCTACTATGCTTGTTCTTCTAGCTTGTCGTTTCGTTCGGCCAAGAAATTTCTGTGCGCAACGAGCACTGGCTCTAGCGACATCGTCAGAATCCTGCAAGTCAAAAGTCCTCGCAGGCGGCTCTGACCCTAAACACACCTAGATGCTTTAAGCCAAGGGTCATACTCCTTGACAGAGGCATTGCGCTACGTACGTTGTATCGTGTGCAGCAGCTTGCTTCGTGGCAGGCATCATGCAGCCACATAGGATGTCCGGTCATGCAGTACACCTGCAATCAAGGGCTCATGGTTCCTTGCTTGAGGACAACATTGCACGCAAGGTTCCCGATCCAGACCTTGAAAGAAGGGTTCTGTTGATTGGACTGCCATTTCGGCTGCGTGCACAGCAGCAAGCAGGACCTTGTTGTCCCGCCCCACAGCTAGCCATGTGGTGCGCGGAAGTGTGTCTTCGTCTTCCTGCACAGAAAGCGGGTAAGAAACTGCGCCTGATGGCAGCCGCTAGAACCACAAGCTGCGGTCATTGCGCTTGTAGGGCCCGCCTTAGAGCTGCAAGAGCGGGTCTCATGATTTATCCCCTCTGGCAGCAGGCATCATGCAGCCACATAGGATGTCCGGTCATGCAGTACACCTGCAATCAAGGGCTCATGGTTCCTTGCTTGAGGACAACATTGCACGCAAGGTTCCCGATCCAGACCTTGAAAGAAGGGTTCTGTTGATTGGATTGCCATGTCGGCTGCGTGCACAGCAGCAAGCAGGACCTTGTTGTCCCGCCCCACAGCTAGCCATGTGGTGCGCGGAAGTGTGTCTTCGTCTTCCTGCACAGAAAGCGGGTAAGAAACTGCGCCTGATGGCAGCCGCTAGAACCACAAGCTGCGGTCATTGCGCTTGTAGGGCCCGCCTTAGAGCTGCAAGAGCGGGTCTCATGATTTATCCCCTCTGGCAGCAGGCATCATGCAGCCACATAGGATGTCCGGTCATGCAGTACACCTGCAATCAAGGGCTCATGGTTCCTTGCTTGAGGACAACATTGCACGCAAGGTTCCCGATCCAGACCTTGAAAGAAGGGTTCTGTTGATTGGACTGCCATGTCGGCTGCGTGCACAGCAGCAAGCAGGACCTTGTTGTCCCGCCCCACAGCTAGCCATGTGGTGCGCGGAAGTGTGTCTTCGTCTTCCTGCACAGAAAGCGGGTAAGAAACTGCGCCTGATGGCAGCCGCTAGAACCACAAGCTGCGGTCATTGCGCTTGTAGGGCCCGCCTTAGAGCTGCAAGGGCGGGTCTCATGATTTATCCCCTCTGGCAGCAGGCATCATGCAGCCACATAGGATGTCCGGTCATGCAGTACACCAGCAATCAAGGGCTCATGGTTCCTTGCTTGAGGACAACATTGCACGCAAGGTTCCCGATCCAGACCTTGAAAGAAGGGTTCTGTTGATTGGACTGCCATTTCGGCTGCGTGCACAGCAGCAAGCAGGACCTTGTTGTCCCGCCCCACAGCTAGCCATGTGGTGCGCGGAAGTGTGTCTTCGTCTTCCTGCACAGAAAGCGGGGGTAAGAAGCTGCGCCTGATGGCAGCCGCTAGAACCACAAGCTGCGGTCATTGCGCTTGTAGGGCCCGCTTTAGAGCTGCAAGAGCGGGTCTCATGATTTATCCCCTCTGGCAGCAGGCATCATGCAGCCACATAGGATGTCCGGTCATGCAGTACACCTGCCATCAAGGGCTCATGGTTCCTTGCTTGAGGACAACATTTCATGCAAGGTTCCCGATCCAGACCTTGAAAGAAGGGTTCTGTTGATTGGACTGCCATGTCGGCTGCGTGCACAGCAGCAAGCAGGACCTTGTTGTCCCGCCCCACAGCTAGCCATGTGGTGCGCGGAAGTGTGTCTTCGTCTTCCTGCACAGAAAGCGGGGGTAAGAAGCTGCGCCTGATGGCAGCCGCTAGAACCACAAGCTGCGGTCATTGCGCTTGTAGGGCCCGCTTTAGAGCTGCAAGAGCGGGTCTCATGATTTATCCCCTCTGGCAGCAGGCATCATGCAGCCACATAGGATGTCCGGTCATGCAGTACACCTGCCATCAAGGGCTCATGGTTCCTTGCTTGAGGACAACATTTCATGCAAGGTTCCCGATCCAGACCTTGAAAGAAGGGTTCTGTTGATTGGACTGCCATGTCGGCTGCGTGCACAGCAGCAAGCAGGACCTTGTTGTCCCGCCCCACAGCTAGCCATGTGGTGCGCGGAAGTGTGTCTTCGTCTTCCTGCACAGAAAGCGGGTAAGAAACTGCGCCTGATGGCAGCCGCTAGAACCACAAGCTGCGGTCATTGCGCTTGTAGGGCCCGCCTTAGAGCTGCAAGAGCGGGTCTCATGATTTATCCCCTCTGGCAGCAGGCATCATGCAGCCACATAGGATGTCCGGTCATGCAGTACACCTGCAATCAAGGGCTCATGGTTCCTTGCTTGAGGACAACATTGCACACAAGGTTCCCGATCCAGACCTTGAAAGAAGGGTTCTGTTGATTGGACTGCCATTTCGGCTGCGTGCACAGCAGCAAGCAGGACCTTGTTGTCCCGCCCCACAGCTAGCCATGTGGTGCGCGGAAGTGTGTCTTCGTCTTCCTGCACAGAAAGCGGGTAAGAAACTGCGCCTGATGGCAGCCGCTAGAACCACAAGCTGCGGTCATTGCGCTTGTAGGCCCGCCTTAGAGCTGCAAGAGCGGGTCTCATGATTTATCCCCTCTGGCAGCAGGCATCATGCAGCCACATAGGATGTCCGGTCATGCAGTACACCTGCAATCAAGGGCTCATGGTTCCTTGCTTGAGGACAACATTGCGCGCAAGGTTCCCGATCCAGACCTTGAAAGAAGGGTTCTGTTGATTGGACTGCCATTTCGGCTGCGTGCACAGCAGCAAGCAGGACCTTGTTGTCCCGCCCCACAGCTAGCCATGTGGTGCGCGGAAGTGTGTCTTCGTCTTCCTGCACAGAAAACGGGTAAGATGCTGCCCCTGATGGCAGCCGCTAGAACCACAAGCTGTGGTCGTTGCGCTTGTAGGGCACGCCTTAGAACTGCAACAGCGGGTCTCATGATTTATCCCCTCTGGCAGCAGGCATCATTCAGCCACATAGGATGTCCGGTCATGCAGTACACCTGCAATCAAGGGCTCATGGTTCCTTACTTGTGGACAGCATTGCACGCAAGGTTCCCGATCCAGACCTTGAAAGAAGGGTTCTGTTGATTGGACTGCCATTTCGGCTGCGTGCACAGCAGCAAGCAGGACCTTGTTGTCCCGCCCCACAGCTAGCCATGTGGTGCGCGGAAGTGTGTCTTCGTCTTCCTGCACAGAAAGCGGGTAAGATACTGCCCCTGATGGCAGCCGCTAGAACCACAAGCTGTGGTCATTACGCTTGTAGGGCCCGCCTTAGAGCTGCAAGAGCGGGTCTCATGATTTATCCCCTCTGGCAGCAGGCATCATGCAGCCACATAGGATGTCCGGTCATGCAGTACACCTGCAATCAAGGGCTCATGGTTCCTTGCTTGAGGACAACATTGCACGCAAGGTTCCCGATCCAGACCTTGAAAGAAGGGTTCTGT